AGCATCTCATAACATGGATGAAACTGGAAGACATTATGCTGAGTGAAATAAGTCAATCACAAAAGGACAAATATTGTATGAGACCTCTACTGTAAAAACTCGTAAAAGTTTACACACAAAAAGAAACAATCTTTGTTGGTTATGAGGGATGGGGGGGAACTAAATAGACAATAGATAAGTGGTAACTTTGGTGAAGGGTAAGCATACACAGTACTGGGGAAGCCAGCACAACTTGTACATGGAAAGGTCATGGAAGCTCCATAGACACATCCAAACTCCCTGAGGGACTGAATTACTGGGCGGAGGGCTGTGGGGACCATGGTCTCAGGGCACATCTAGCTCAATTGGCATAACACAGTTTATAAAGACAATGTTCTACATTCTACCGTGGTGAGCAGCGTCTGGGGTCTTAAAAGCCTGTGAGTGGCCATCTAAGATACTCCACTGGTCTCAACACTTCTGGAGCAAGGGAGAATGAAGACAAGATACAAAGAAAAGATTAGTCCAACGGACTAATGGACCACAGCTACCATGACCTCCACCAGACTGAGTCCAGTACAGCTAGATGGTGCCTGGCTACCACCACTGACTGCTCTGACCAGGATCACAACACAGAGTCCTCGACAGAGCCAGAAAAGAATGTAGAGCAAAACTGTAACTCACAAAAAAAAGATCAGATTTACTGGCCTGACAGACTGGAGAAACCCTGACAGTATGGTCCCTGAACACCCTTTTAGCTCAGTGGTAAAATCACTCCCGAAGTTCACTGTTCAGCCAGGGATTGGACAGCCTCATAAAACAAAATGGGACTAATGAGGCACAGCTGTCCAGGGACAAGGACTAGAAGGCATGAGGGGACAGGAAAGCTGGTGATAGGGAACCCAAGGTTGAGAAGGGACAGTGTTGACATGTCGTGGGGTTGTTAACCATCATCATAGGGCAATATCTGTACTAACTGTTTAATGAGAAACTGTTTGTTCTGCAAACTTTCATCTAAGGTACAAAAAAAAGAAAAAAGAATTATCTATGTGAGATCAAATTGACAACAGCAACTCAAAAGGTTTGATGGGAAGCCCAGGGGGCAGTGAGTTGAAGATAATGGTGATGGAATAATTTGGAAAAGGATAGTGAGAATAGCAGCACAACTGGAATAATGTAATCCATGTCACTGAATTGTACATGCAGAAAGTTTTGAAATCGTGTAACTTTGGCTATGTATATTTTCACAAAAAAAAAGGTCCTCCAAGGTTGAGAAGGGAGAGTGTTGACATGTCATGGGGTTGTTAACCAATGTCATAAAACAATATGTGTACTGTTTAATGAGAAACTATTTGCTCTGTAAACCTTCATTTAAAGTACAATAAAAAAAAAAATGGGTAGATGGCAATTGAAGTGTTTAGTTGATACAATTAGGATCGTTCTAAATAGGTTTTGGGCAATACTGCAAGAAAAATGTTTGTCTTTATTCTATTAATGCCCTTAATCAAACGTGTTATAATGGAAGGTTACTGAGTTCTAGCTGGAGGTTTTAGGCCTTGTCAAAATTTGAGGTTGTTACCCTATGTCTTGAAATCTGAAGTAGGTTACCTAGTCATAAATGGGAATCTGATAATTCAACACATCTTTTTTATAGAAGCAACCAAGGGACTCCTTGTCCAGGAATCTATAGACATTTTAACCAAACAGCCACGTCCAGAATTTCCCACTAGGATTTTTATTTGGTTGTTTGTTTGGAAACAAGGGTTGGTAAAATGACTAACTCGAACACAACAAAAACCTCAGTTTTCCCGTAACTTCTTATTTGACTTACTAGTTTTCTATCAACACATTTTTAGGATTCTTGTTGGTTGTTTTTTGTTTGTTCTCAGCAGCCCGTATAAAACCAGCATCTGAAAAGACAAAGACCTTATTTGTTAAACCATGGGTCAAAGAAGATGGTTTTCAGTCTATCTGAGAGGATCTATTTTAAGGGGAAAGTCTGAAAGCCCCAAACCTCTGCTCTGATCTGTCTTAAGCTCTAAAGTGCTGACTGTTCAGTTAGAACAACCACCGTGGCTGCTCGCAGTCCCTAGAGTGCTGGCAGAAGGCAGTGAACCCAATCATGCTTCATCAAACTTTTCTTCTGCAACCATTCCTTCCACTTCGTGCCCCAATCTTCTTGGTTACTAGCCAAGAAAGTCCAAAGCAGGTGTGAGTAAGACCCTGATTCCTTTCTTATGTCTGTGAGTTGTCCAGGTCATGTAAAAAAGCTGAGGAAGAGGATAAGGGAAAAAGGGGACAGAAAATACATTTTTTTCTACTAGTGTAAAATATCTGACAATTATTTCTTTAAATAATGCAAAATTATTAGTTGATGCAACTAATCTTCTCTGGGGTGAAGTACATTTTCTTTAGAACTTTTTTAGATCTTTACCTCAGGAATGAAGACTATTTTTCCACTGGGAAGACTGTTTAGCCAACCGAGATCCACCCAGATTTTCAAAGGGGTTCATGGCCCTAAACAAGTTTAAAAAACTTCTAGAGAAAAGTTTCTTTATATGTAAATTAATGCTATAAAAACTTAGAGAAAAAAATTGTTATATACCCTTGGATTTGGATGAAAGCAAGGCGAGGGGCCTGATTGTATGGGTTAACCAGAAGAATAAAGTAAATGATCTACAATGCCACCTGTGGCACGTTCCATTAGTTAATGATGCATGCTCTGCTGTATTGTAACAATAATACAGGGGCACCCAACTTTAAGAAAAAGTATATATATATACACATACATTGTATATATTTACATACATATATATTACAATTCAGTTCAGTTACAGATGAAGCTATCTTTCAAGCAACGGAAGAAAACACCATACATCCTATTCAAATAAACCCACTGCCATTCAGTCAATTCTGACTCATAGAGAACCTATTCAAATAGTTACCTTTCTCTTCTGAGAGGTCATGTAGCAAAGGGGAAGGTCATGACACCAAGATGGAGGTGAACTGAGATATACTCTGACAAGCTGGGGGACTTTAAGCAAGTCATTTAACTTACCTGATTTTTAGTTTCACTTCTGAAATGATGATATTTAAAATTCCTTCAAATGTTGTTAATTCTAATTCATTTGTAATTTTATTTAAATGTAACTATCAGAAACATATGTGATATATGAAGCAAATTACCTATCGGTGTATTGCTTTAATGTTATAATACCAAAAATTTGGTACTAGAATATGTATTGAGCGGTTCACTTTTCCAGGAGGATATTATTTGGTCATTTACTAGTATTAAGTCTACTCTCCGTTGTATAGATTGTACACTCAAGAACATCAAAATGATTCTGTGAAAATATGGTTTAAATTTCTTCCTGTTTCCTTTCTTCCCAGTTACTAAGCTTGTTCTCTATCTTTATCCATGTACCACCCCACACATACTTATTTTCAAAGTCTTGGCATACTAATAAAAAAAAAAGTTACAGAAGTGAAATATTTTCTAGGGAACTGATTCTACTAAATAGTGATTATTATTATGCCTTAATTATTTTTTCATACCACTTCTTCATTTAGATTACCTTCTAATACCCCAAGTCATAACTAGATGATAGATATTTTCATTTATCATTTATTTCTTACACCTTCACTTCTTATGGAAAGCTGTTTACCCTGTCTTTGCCCATGCAGCCTCTTGTTAAATTGTAATCATTCCAAGATGGATTAAATTGTTGCCTCTACACGCAATTTTATTGAGGTGAAGAGGAAATGGTTTGGTACGCAAGTTTTTCCATGGATTAAAAAGTGCACAAGAGTCTAGTAATTTTGGAGGAAATCCAGCTTACTTTTGCTTTAATGCACCCAGAAGATTTCAAATCAATACTTAATGTTTCAATTGAGAATTAACATCGACATAATTGGAAGTGAGGATCAGCATCCTGATGTTTAGGAGAGAGCTATTTGCTTGGGGAGGTCATTACACTGGAGAACACAAACACTGGAAGGGCAAAACACAAATCATTTGTTTTCTTGGGCAAGGACACACAGTGAACACTTGATTTGGTGATCAACTACAATTTTCTTCTAGAGCCAGCAACTCTGGCAACAGTTTGGATTTATAGCAGAGCAAACAAGTAGCAGTGACTTTGAAAGCAAAGAATAAAAGAGCCCAGGAAAAAGTTACTCGTTTCTAAAGATCTCTTTCCTTATTACAAGGATTTAAAGATTTTTCCCTCAATCTAAAAGCAGGATGCACTCTTGTTATGTTGAGCATGCCCCTCAGCTGCTATTCCTAGAATTACCTCATGAGGAAGCCAATGACATTTAAGTCTGGATTATCAACAATCCTTTATTATTTGCCTGGGAATTTCAAACCAATATCCTCCCAGCCTGAACAATGCCCACAGAAAGTTTGCTTCCATTTTGGTAAAAATAAAATTTTTAAAAATGTATTTAGCTTTTTATTTACTTCCACTGTCTTGAAAAGTTCAATCACTTCTCCAAACTCCCCAGAATAAACAAGAAATACCTCTCCTCGCAGCCCTCCCCCACAGTACCGCCCTAAGGCACTTCCATCTCTGACCAATCCTTCCAGGAAGAAGTGTTCAGGTCAGATTTAGCTTCTCAGTGGAGAAGAGGAAAATTTAAACGAATAGGAATTTCTTTAGGAATCGTCGGTACCACATAGAAGTTCCTTTTCTCCTTTTTTCTTTTTCACTGAAAGCGGAAAGCTCTGCTTACGAGAAGTGCCCACTGTCACCTGTGTCCCTACAACTCTCCAGAGCCAAGAGAAGACCCCGCCAGCGAGGCGCCCTCCGGCCTGTCCCGCAGACCACGGCAAGGTGCAGAACTGGAGTGCGAAGCAGCGGCCTCAGCATCACTCTCGACTCCTGGCGTGGCCAAAGGTGCTTTCCTGGGGCTGGAGGGAGAGCTCTTATGGAAGCAGAGTTTGAAAAGCCCCAGAACTGTCATGGTCAAGATCACCAACACCACAACCGCTATGCCTACAAATATGAAGACTACAGTGGAGGAGGAGTCAAAAATCTGGGGAGTGGCAGAGGAAGACGTGGAGTTAAACTTGGGAATTAAGCTTCCTGAAGGAGCGATGGTGTCTTCTGACTTGGCTTGAGGGGACGTCTGAAGGGTGGACATCGTGCTCTGTGCTCCCCACCGAGGAATCTGGGGAATAGATGTTGCTGAACTGCCTCGTTCAGAGACAAGGGGTATCTCTCCTGGTTTCTCGTGGCCCGTGGGCGACCCTGTTATCCTTGGCATGGGGCTGGCCGCAGTGATCTGCGGACGCCTAGTGACCTCCTTAGTCTCCTCAGGGGTCGGCTGTCCTTCCCCATCGGTCACACAAGAGCGGCCGTCCTTACTCAATTCGAAACCCGCAGCACACTCGCAGGTAAAGCCTCCTAAATCGTCTAGGCAGTTAGGGAGCTCAGCGCATTTGCCAGCACGGAGGTACCTTCCGGGGCAGGGGCAGAGCACGCCTCCAGAGTGTAACCGGTCCCAGTGCATACCGACCTCGTCTACGATGCAGCTGGCCGAGACGGAGAGCTGCCCGGGGCAGAGCGCACTCACCTCAGTCCCCGGGGGGCTGAAGTCCAGCGCGGCGCTGTACAGCTGGAAGGGCGCGCGGTAGGTCAAGTTGGAGGCGGCGCCGGGACGCGGCGCGGGACACAAGCCCTCAAACTGGTATTTGCATAAGTAGCCGTCGGCGCGCAGGTGGCATCGCATCTCCTTCCAGCCTGCCGGCTCGACTCCCCCGGTGGCCTGAAGGCCTGCGCATCTCCGCGCAGTGCAGGAGCGTTGGGGCTCCTCAACCCACTGCAGCGTCTCGCTTTCCGAGCCCCCGCCGTCGGGGGACAGCCAGGAGAAACCCCGCAGCGGCTCGTTCGCCTGGGTGCAGTGGGACTTCTTGCGCTCCAGCGCGACCCAGAAGTGAAGGTCTTTGGAGCCCCCTCCAGGCCCCGGGCCGGCCCGCAGGAGCGCGAGCACGGCGCGGAGCTCCGGGCCTCCGCGCACAGTGCTGAGCGCCCCGCCGCGCAGGCTGCAGGCCTCCTCCGCCGCCAGTCGTTGGATGGTAGCGTGGTGCAGGCTGTAGCAGGCCCCCGAGGCCGAGCAGCTGGCGCGATCAGCGGTGGGGTGCTCGCCACGACCGGGTCCGGGACAGAGCGCCTGCCAGAGGAGGCACAGGGCGAACGCTGGCCTCATCTCGGAGGCCCCGCGCCCACAACTGGGCCCTACTGGGGTCTGTCCCTCCAGAAGGCGCGGAGTTGTCTCTAGAGCGTCGTCACCGCCCCTTACAGCTAGCTTCACTCCGCCCTCGCTCCTGCCGGCCCTCAAGGCCAAGAATCCCCACCAGGGTCCGGGGCCGCCAACAGCTTCGCTTAGGCCCGAACAGGAAATGTGTCCGGAGGTCTGCCAGGCCTTGCACAGCCCTGATTTATTCAGGGGTCAGTAATACAGCTGGAGCCTGGTCACAGGGAACTCAATAGACTACAAGGTCAAACACCCTGCTTAGAGCAGGAAGAAAAGAAAGTCTCCACCGAGATGAAGTGTATAGTCCCAACGCCGCCACCTCCACCCCTAGGGCTTCATGGAGGCAGTTTCAGGACCTCAGATCCCAGAACCTGTTGGTGAACACTGGCAGGAAGTTTGAAGAAAACAAACTTGCTTATAGTCGACTGACAGCCCACACCCACCAATTGTTTGTCTCCCCAGTGGTGGAGTTGCTCTCAGAACAATTGATAGACGGCTCTAGTCTTCTGCAGGCCTGCGACTTGGAGGGAAAAAAATCTTGTGAGAAATCTAAACATTTTCTTTTGCCACTGAAGGCAGCACTATTTAACCACTGGCCTGAGTTCTGCTTCTCTGTTCTGTCGAAGGAGACTCAAGCTTGCTAGTGCTAACTGCTAGTCAAAGAATTTAGTTTCCTTGAGTATTTTAAATGGGAAATTCTGTTCTTTTGATAGTCCTACCTTAAAAGTTTCTTTTTCTTTTTCTTTTTTATATTTTATATTTTATTGTACTTCAGGTGAAGGCTTACAGAACAAATAGTTTCTCATGAAACAGTAGTACACATGTTGTTTTATGACAT